ACAATTTAATTTTTATCATGACATTATGGAAAATAATGAACTTTATCACAATATTCTAATTTTATGACCAGCACCTGTATATGCAGTTTATTTACTGTTTCTGGCTTCCTATAGTTCAGTCTTTTCGGCCCTCTAGTCATTAGTCCACATTGCATCACCACTGGCCTGTTGATTTTTATTCACTACAGGAAAACTGGTTTGTGTCACGAAAATGATGAGGGATGGTTATAAATTTAATTTCTTCTTGATAGACCAACAACTATCAAGTGAACCATAAATTATAATGTCAGAAAATAAAAACAGAATTTTAACTTAAATATGTTATAAGTTAAAAACTCATAATTTCATTGCTTATTTTTAATTTAATTTACAGGAAAACAGAAATGATGTTACAGAAATAACAGAATAAGAAGAGATCCAAACACAGATGGCATATATGAACATTAGGATTTTTATTATTAAAATAAAAATTAGAAACATCTTTAATTGTACAAAAAAAATCATCAGAAATAATTTAAGTAATTTTTAACTATTCACAAATATAATCTCAAGGCACTTATCCAGTTTAGGTTTCCCTTTTTTACATCAATCCAGTTCAAAGATAATGCATATTATTAAACAATACAGCACAATTTGTTATTCATTGGACAATAATTTTTAAAAATGTCCACCTAAAAACATCCATCCATTCCATTTCCTCTTGTACAAGCATGTGGCAACAGTGGAGAGGAACAACTCCCACTTAACCAGGCTTAGTATGAGCAGCAAACTGAGGGCTGGGACAAAAACACAAAATGACAAAACCCCAAACCAAGGTGTAACTCTTTACATTTGAAAGCCCAACCAAAAATTATTTCTGCCATTAATTATTTTTCATTCTGTATAAAAATATGCAAGGCAGTAAAATTACTGCTGTTTGCAGGATATTGATAAAGTAGATGAAACACCTTTTCATGTTGTATTTTTGTTGTCATGACAACAGCATTAGGAGATAAACATAATTTATTTCACTTAATGTTGGTTTGAGTTTTTTTAAACTCAATGAACTGAAAAACTTCTCCTGTAGTGCAAATATGAACTGAAGTATGTAGATTCATGTTTTGGTGTTTGGACACCAGATGGCGCTAGTTTAACATCATAGTTTTATTTGACAGGGTTTAGATTATCTCAGCTCTGAATGTGATTCATGACTGCAGAGACCAGACTGACCTCAGTCTGATTCAGAGTGAAGACATGAAGGTGTTAATATTGATATAAACTCTCTAAAGGTACCAGGACGTCCAGATAAAAGCTTTTGACTTCAAGTATGTGAGTTTGACATGAAACTAAAACAACTGATGAGTTTGACGCAGAACAATAAATCTGTCATCATGCAGCAGCAAACAAAGTAAAGAATTGAATCTTCTGCAGAGATCAGGTTTTGTTTTTTATTTTGTTGCTTGTTATTTGAGCCATGTTTTTACTTAGTTTTTTTTCTCTTCATTGTTATTCATGTTTAGATTCCTTGTGTGTTAGAGACAGAAACTCAGTGCAGAGGTCTGTTGATAGATCTATGAAGATGCTGTCAGGTATTGTTAGTTTATCTCTAATTTTAAACACATGTAGCATAATAATAGTGCCGTGTTAAAGTAAAGACCATCACAGTGAGTTTATTTAAAAAGCAGTTGCTGCTTTGCTCTGATGAAAATCAGAAACACGTGACAACAAAATAAGCAAGAACATAATAAAAATAGAAAATACTACATGCAAAAGTTTGAAAGAGAAAGATAATAAGTCCTAAAAACATGTTTTAAATTTCCATAAACAACGTAGAAATAGATAACGTTTTTAAGGTGTCATGTTTTTTATTGCTTTGTTGTACAGTCATGGCCAAAAGTTTTGAGAATGATTCAAATGTTAATATTTACAAAGTCTACTGCTTCAGTTTTTATAATGGCAATTTGCATATACTCCAGAATGTTATAAAGAGTGATCAGCTTAACAGCAATTAATTGCAAAAGTCAATATTTGCCTTGAAAATTAACTTTATCCCCCAAAACACATTTCAACTTTATTGCAGCCCTGCCTTAAAAGGACCAGCTAACATCGTTTCAGTGATTGCTCCATTAACACAGGTTTGGGTATTGAGGACAGGGCTGGAGATCAATCTGTCATGATTAAGTAAGAATGACACCACTGGACACTTTAAAAAGAGGCTGGTGCTTGGCATCATTGTTTCTCTTCTGTGAACCATGGTTATCTCTAAAGAAACACGTGCAGTCATCATTCCACTGCACAAAAATGGCCTATCAGGGAAGAATATCGCAGCTAGAAAGATTGGACTTCAGTCAACCATCTATTGCATCATCAAGAACTTTAAGGAGAGAGGCTCCATTGTTGCCAAAAAGGCTCCACACAGCCATGAATAAAGAATGGTACCAGAATGTCCTCCGAGAGCAACTTCTCCCAACCGTCCAAGAGCAGTTTGGTGATGAACAATGCCTTTCCCAGCATGATGGAGCACCTTGCCATAAAGCAAAGATGATGACTAACTGGCTCAGGGAACAAAACATAGATTTTGGGTCCATGGCCTGGAAACTCCCCAGATCTTAATCCCATTGAAAACTTGTGGTCAATCATCAAGAGACGGGTGGACAAACAAAAACCTAGGAATTCTGACAAAATGCAAGCATTGATTGTGCAAGAATGGACTGCTATCAGTCAGGATTTGGTCCAGAAGTTGATTGAGAGCATGCCAGTGTCATAATGGGTGGTGGTTGAAGTGAGGAAAGGATGCTGAGACCCAGGTAAGATGAAGATGATGGAGATTTAATGACAATATTGCTCATAAAAACAGTCCAGGACAGGCAGCACAGCAGGAGATAAGCGCACAGCTAAATACCGGTAGCTCTGAAAACAAAGACTGAGAACTGGAGCTGACGCCGACACAGGACTTAACCAGTACAACTGTGACGACAGACAGACTGACGCAGACAACATGCGTTGACAATAGACAAGGACCCAACAAGAGACAAAGACAACAGGTGGACTTAAATACACACGGGGGTAATCAAGGGAACGAGAAACACCTGGGAATAATCAACGGGGATGACACAGAGACTCACAGGAAGGAACTGAACACAGAAAACTCTAAAAATAAATACACAGAAACATGGATCATGACAGCCAGGGAGAATTGCAAAGGTCCTGAAGAAGAGGGGTCAACACTGCAAATATTGACTTGCTGTATTAACTCATACTAACTGTCAATAAAAGCTTTTGTTACTCATAATATGATTGCAATTGTATTTCTGTATGTGATGAAAACATCTGACATACACACATGAAAACCAGAGGACAGCAGATTATGTGAAAATATAATATTTGTGTCATTCTCAAAACTTTTGGCCATGACTATTTGTTGATTTAAACATAAGAAAAAAATGTCAGCGACTCTTTTAGCACTGACTAAAAGAATCAACAGTCTGAGCTGAGATTAGCTCCATAAAATAACTAATTTAAGTTTTAAAGGCGACTGAAGAGTAAACTGACTGCTGCTCTGATGGACTTCCTTTGGTGGCAGCTGAGGAAACCTTTGACCCTGATGAAGAAAAAACAGAAATTCATTAGAAAACTGCAAGTAAGTGGAAGATTTTAGTGCAGCTTTCTTTTGGAAAGTTTATCAGCTTTTGGCATCAATTATTTCTGATGCAGTTGAAGCTGTTTGTGTTTTTATTGCCAGTATTTGTGAAGAAATGGATGCAGAGTTAGAGACAGTTCATTCAGTGAAACAGCAGCTTTGTTTTTCTGTTTAATGTCAGGTTGATTTCTATTGTTGTCTATCTGAGCCCCGTGTTGCAACCTGTGGTTTGATGTTGTGCTTTTTAACTGATGAGGTAAAATTACTCCTGGTGCGATCGATACATGTGTCTGAAAATAATTCTTGTCAAAGTTAGCCTGTGAAACTGAGCTAATGTCACGGTGTCTGCACCGCACATCTGCTTAGGCAATAAGCAATAACCTTTCTTCTTTATCTCAATGGTTCGTTCGCAACGTCTCCACATGCACATAAAAACATAGACATACAGGAACTGAACATCATGTCTTTAATAAAATTACAGAAAAAAACACAAACTCTCACCTTTCCTCTTCCTGGGTTTGTTAACAAAGGCATAAATTGTGTCCTTTGGATCATATTTGTGCAATTTCATTTTTCATGTCTGCAATTAAAAGAGGGGAGAAAAAATGTATATCTTGTCAATTTTAATAAAGGTTATTTATGAAACTGATAATCTGTCCGTGTTGTAGTTAAAATGATAAAAATACAGAGAATACAAATAATCTCAAGAGGTGAGTTAGCAGTACCCAGTGATGGTACAGACACTTTGAAGAAGTAACTTTAACCGGATTACTAATTACTTGATTTGGAAAGTAACTAAGTTACATTAAAAGTAACTTTTTGTAGTTACCGTATTTTCCGCACTATAAGGCGCACCTAAAAACCTTCAATTTCCTCAAAAGCCGACAGTGCGCCTTATACATGGACCAATATTGAGCCACAACAGGTCTAGCCACTACGGTAAGCAGCCGCCGACTTCATTTTCCCCCGTAGAAGAAGAAGCGCGCGGTGCATGCTGGGATAGTTGTCAGCATGCTGGTTTGTTAATAAAGTTTGTTAATACATTTAAAGCCAGGGGCGGAGGGGCGCGGCGGCAGCGTGTCGATTGGTCTTTGTTACCCAGAAAGCAGTTGGGCACAATATTGCAAACACCAACACCGTGAGTGAAACAATGACTGGGGCAGCCTACTATATAAAGTACTCAGGACTTCTTCTTTACAAATTTGGATGTGTAATGGAGTACAGGACAAGTTGGCAACCTAAACTGAAGCATCTATTCTATGTATCTTATAATGCGGTGAGCCTTATATATGAAGAACGTTTTAAAATAGGCCATTCATTGAGAGTGCACCTTATAGTGTGGAAAATATGGTACTTTCAGCTGCTATCACCAACTCTCCACCACCTGAAAATTACTTTGATCTTTTCCGATATTTAATTGCAAACTATTAAATAATAGTAATAATACTATAATAGTAACATCAACAATGTGTCTCCAGGTTGAACTGAAGGGGAGATTGTTTAATGGTTAAAACAGTACAAAAAAGACTAGTAATTTTCCCATGTTTTTTTATGTTTCACTGATGTCTGGAATGTTTTGGAAATGTAAATATGCTAAGGTCCTGGCTCCCAGTTGCAAAATTTTTTTTAAAAATTCAATTTTTAATCGACCTGACCCAGAACTTTGTCATCACCATCTGACAAAAATAAATAAAAAATAATTTTTAATGATCCT